CTAAAATAATCGCGTTCCCGTCTTCCAATTGAAGAGCTGTTACGTGTGGACATCCTTTGTACATAGGTCGGTTATATAACTGCATCGGTTAGTCTTGTTTAGCCTGGAGCTTGGACCAGTTCATTCTGTTTCATGGTAGAGGAAGACAGACATACATGGTTTTACTTGATAGAAGTTGAAATGCGCCAGAAATTGAATCGCCACCAAAAGTCGGATTAACTCCTACCTTTTTTACGGATCGATATTAAATTAAATACATATAACTGTAGAGTTCGTTTTAATACGCTAACCTCTGGAACTGCTGGTTGGAATGAAACATCTGTTGAATATACCATTTATCGACTTCTGGGGCTTAGTACCTATATATGCGCGAGATTCAAACCCAGCTCTTCCGCAATTAGAAACATAAAAATAGAATTGTAGAACCTAAACGATTACTAATAGTTATGTAATTCAATAGTAAATACCGTATTTCTTAACAGTGAATTTTTGCTTATCAACAACGTGTTGGACATAATATGTTATTTGTTTGAAGACGCGGATATTGTTTCAAGGGGTCATTTTTCACCTGCTACGTATGCGAAACAAAAGAACCAGTCCAAATATAGCCATGAGTCACACGTAATCTAATCATTTAATTATAATATAATATTTTAAAACTAAAGTGCTTAAACAAATCAAATTAAATCTAGGACTTCTGTTGTTATCTACAGACTTAGTACTTACAAGTTCGCGAAATATATTACCTAGTCTTCTTCTAGCTGAGGGTCAAAAAATCAAAAGAAATTTAAAACAACCGCATCAAAATCGATCTACTCTTTCGTTAGCTACAAGTAGTACACATTTAAATAAAACACTGTAAACGGTTTAAAACGAAATATATTCGTTATTTCATTTATTAATTTTAACGATGTTTCGCATTCTTCGCAGCAGCGTATTTCCCGTGTAGACATAGAAAAACTAATATATTTCGTGTTTTAAACCGTTAAAAGTGTTTTATTTAAATGAGGTTACATATTCAGACATAACTCATAACTTCAAAACATCCGTAAATCCTTTCTAGCCTATTAGATATTGATTTTCCTCAATAATTAACAGCCTATTATAAACACATTACACTAAGGTAATTATACTGCAGTTAACTTGGTCATGCTAAAGTGCTTATAAAGAATCGCCTAGTGTAACGCTGAAGCTGTTTAAAGCCGCATGCGCATAGATCTAATAAAGGAGGCAAATTCTGTAGCTTTAAGAACATGTTAGAGCTTGGCCCCTTATTTTGTTTAGTTAAATATTATGTAATAATTTAACTAGATAGTAAAAGTAAAGTGTAATATTCTGTAAGAAAATGAATGTGTCTATACATAGAAGGACATTTGCGGTGTCATGTTTTACAGTAATTAAGAGAACATGAAAATGAATGACATTTTTATTGTTTTCTTTGTCTAAGATTTCTTACGACGTTTTGACACAATCCTAAGTATAACCTAACCTAGTTGAAATGCCATCGCCATATAACATTCAAACAAAATGCGCTGTCGCCCTATTTTTTCTTTGGATATACGGAAATCCAGAGTAAAACCGAAACGTGATCAAACTCGATGGCTTTTTCATCAGTGAACGGTCCATCTACCATCAGTGGTATCATATATGCCACGATGATTCGTGGCATATATGATACCACGCATTTAAAATTCAGATTCAGCATGATTCAGTAAAAACTATAATTTGAATTTGAACCTAGTGGTGATCGAACCCACGACCCGTACAAAAAGTAGGTATTTTAAAGCAATATATAAATATTTTGCCTAAATTACTGCATAAAACGATATAAGGGAGACGTAGTTGCCATAGCAACGGCCCTTATGAATTATAGTATTATATATCGTAATATGTCATTATTTTTTAACCATAGTACACAAGCATTATACAGTGTGTACACAGCTTAACACTTATCCTATATTCATGGCACGAACACGATGATAGCCACTGAAGAACACAATGTTTTTGTAGCCTCGTAAGTAGTAAACGAAATGCATCTTTAACAAGTATCGAGTTAAAAAAAGTTTTATGCACTAAAATCTACGAAAAAATTTAAATTTTGGCATAATCATCTTGTTTTACTAGCCCTTTCATTTGATACCCATATTGAGGGGGTTAAGGAAAAATATGTAACCCGCCATTTTGTATCGGCGGCCGCCATAGATTTGAAATGTTATTGATTTTATTATATTGTATTGTCATTTAAATTAAATGTGTGTAACAAATTGCAGATCAATCTGACAACGGGAAGCTGCTTAAATTTCAATTTCTAATTTTGACCCAAATAAATAAACTCCGTACGGGTCGAGCTAAATAAAACCGTTTAAAAACTAAGAAAATTTCGCCTTCAGCTGCGAAAAACTAAAAAGGCCTCTCTTTCCTTCTTTGCTCATTATGGAGTTTTTCTATCTAAGCAATCGCGAAATATAAATCCTTTATCAATCCCCTCAATTTTTATCGTACGAACAGCCACCACAAAATTTAGTCTCACCCTTATCAAACTAACATTACTATTGTCGTTAGTTCGCTAATAATATTTTGATCGACCAATTAAATTGTTTAAGATATGATCTGATTAGATAATTATACATATGGCTGCCAAGACTCCTACCAGATTGATTTACAAACATGATGGCGCCTTTAAGGCACTTGTCTCATCGCCACCGAAAAAAACAACAAACGATCTGCTATTTTCTTGCTTAAAAAACGACCGTTCACATTGTCGGCGAGAAATCGGTCCTCGCATTTGTCGGTGAACTTTAAAAGCTACTTACTCGCTCAGCGATGCTTGCTTGGCGGTTGGACTCGTGGAAAGACCTCATTTACATAGTTTTTATATGGTTTTTTGTTATGGGTATAGAAAGTTGCCTTGCCTGTGACACCTTCACTTGTTTACCACCACGATAGACAGACAGGATTTTAAATTCTTAAGGCGTAAATTAGAGACAACTAAACTATAATAAAACGAAAATTCTTCTTTAAAGTGTCTTAGGCAACAGATGGATGGATAGATTATGTTTTTAATATTTCTACGACCACGTTAACAAAACGTATAGGCTGAGATATTATCAGCTATGTTGATAAGCACTATAATTTAAATAAAGGCAAAGTATTGATTCATAATTCGATAGTACTAAAATATTTTCGAAATACAACAATTTACATTTAAGTAATGGATAGCCTTATCAAACATACATACCAAAAGTTATGTGAGGAGGTTATCTGTCTGTTTACGGACATAACGCGAACTAACACAGCCAAGTATTCAAGTAACGAAATAAACAAGCATTATCCAACACTACGTTAATTTGTTGATTCACTAGACTAACGTCTGGAGTGTAAAATCACAAGATCAGGTGAAGTCATGTATTTCACGTGGTTGAATCAGCTGATAAACAATGTTTGGCAGTTTCCCAAATTTAACGGGTGAAAAATGTGAGGAAAAGTGGCTTAAAATCAATACTGCTTCAGTTTTGACCATCTCGTGTGTCCTATGGTACCTATGGTAGTGGTTAGTAATGAGCGGGTCACGAGTTCAAACCAGAATTCTAAAATCCTTTTTTTTTTAAAGGAAAATCTAGAAATTCCATCCGCAGATGTGAATGTCAATACCATGTAAAAACAGCCATATTGTGTTGTCCAATCCAAAATGGGATTTTATTTTGCGGATTTTCGAAATTAAATACAAAGCCAAGGTAGATCGTCAGCGCATCTTCTTTAGATGCTTCATGGCTGGGGTATATCATCATGTTTGACTTGTCCTCCTTTATCATAAAAAAACTTTTACAATTCGTTATCTCCAACATATCCAGCTGTATGTGATATATATCCGATGTATAATCCTGTAATTCGTAGCCAGCCCTGAGATTCAAACATTTAACTTGCAGTCTACTCATAACTAGGCAACTGGTTAGGTACAAAATCTACCCTCCATACTCCATGACATATTTAGCTTTTTTAACAACCTTTTATCGCATTTCAACATTCTAGCTTCAAAATATCAGTATTGAAGATGTATCAAAACTTATACTATCACATCTTGTCCTATCAGGAGCTCAAGCAGACAGCATTGATGGTTCTGGTAACCTTCACAGATAAAAATCATTTGAGCAATATTTAATTCAAATAAAACAAGTAAATCTATATAATCCGATAAAATGTAAACGATACTTTTTAACAGATAGAAAAATGAATGTCATTATAGCTTCACATTTCTAGCAATGGAAAAGTTTATTTAGGTTTAAGGAAATACGTATTTATTAATGATAAACTATATTTAAAAATAGTACAGCAGTAGTAGATAGCAAGTCAAATAATCCCTATATCATACGGTTTCAATAGGCAATGCGCAAGAGCATTCTGAGAAAATAAGAACCGCTTAAAATGTGTCTGGTATTTTCATAGCAATAAACATTAAGTTTACATTAAAAAGGTTGTGACCTACAAAAGCGATATTAAAGATAAAACGACGATTAAACAAAATTAATATTACGAAAGCAAACGTTAATATAAATATTTATCATTAATTGATACGTAGCGCGTAGCGTTTATATTTGAGGGAAGAATTTTTTCGTACGATTGAGGAGGAAAGACAAGCTTGATTTTCACCATCAAGAAAACCCACAGAAACAGAACCACGTTTGCACTTCATGGCATCTATGACATCTATGACGTTGTTCCAAGACCCAGAAAAATGTTGATATTCTAATCGTCCAGAACAGGTCCAGACTAACCATAATTCGAAAAATCACATGATTCACAAACCCTGGATCTGGAAATAGAATCTATGAACCGTAAATTGTTGGCAATCTCTATTGCTTTCTTTAAACCAATAGTTTTGAAATACTTCGTTATGCAATGGAATAGCCTATATATACCTAACATAAAAAGAAAATAAGAATGTTGTTTATGCCAATAATGGGCCTGAGACTACATGGATCCGCCCAGAATTTGATACGTACATGAAATCTTCCAAATCCACGACATTGGTAAACTGACAAGGTTCCCCGTCCACATTGTAGCACATGCTATTGTAATCCCATTGTTGTGTCTGACGGCATGGCAGAGCTTGCAGGAATTGTTTGTTTGGATAGCACTGCTGAACGCAGGGAACATTCGGGATAGGTGGACAGTAGTATTGGACCCTGGGTTCACGAACATAATTGTTGTAGCACTGAGTTGAGAAGTCACCAATCACGTTGCACGCATTGAAATCACACGCGTTACTTATCGGCGTCCACTGACACTGCATAGGACCTTGTTGGGCCCAGGCCACCTCATCATAAGCCCCCGGGACTGGGTAGTGCGGTAGAGGTTCACCAGCCACCAGCATTTTGGTGAAAGGCTCGTATTAAACGCGATTAACAATAAAACAGTCCATCGGGGTACATAATCGTCGTCCGACTGATAGGAGATGTACTTATCTTTCCTCGCTATTCCTCGCTTAGTAGCAAAAAACTTGATAAGTATTTTCATGTGATAACATGATGTACATGATGTGCTCACGTACTTACCTGACTTTTTAAATAATTGATTAAAATAGCGCAAACTAGATTACGCTGAACAAGCATAGACCTTTCTTAATTTTGTCTATTTCATCTGTTTTGCGCTTTGCTTTGCTTTGAACAAAGCAAAGTGTTACGAACTGACATGACAAATATTGATTTGACGTCGAGGGTCTGTCTGTCCGACTTACTCCAGCTATCAGTTCAGACAAATATCAAGTTATATGGAGTACCTATTAAAATTCAAGCAAATATAGTCTACCACCGTGACCACGGTTGCAATGCATCCGAACGTGAGGTCGTAGTTAAGTACACGAGTTATATAAAACATGTTGCCTAGCATTGCATTAAGAGCGTAAGGTTCAAAGCCCTGTTTCCTAAAAAATGTTGCTATAGGGTAGAACACAATAAACTGATCAATTACATGCCCTACAGAGGTAAACGGGACTTCACTCATTTAACTAAAGTTACCTAACATACTTTGCGTTTTAAACCATTCAAAGTTTTATTATTTGTAGGGATTTAACAAACATTAAAACCAATGTTTAATTGTGTAGCCAAAAACCAGAGCTTTTATTGCAGCACACTATTTCTATTTTCTAACATTGTGTTACAGATAAATGAACACGAGTTTGTTATCTACGCTTAATTAGCTAGTTAACCTTATTCTATGATACGCGTCATAGTTTATGTATGATTTGAAACATATGTCACTTTGCTGTTTACTTGTATTAAAGTGCAATAAAAACTATAAGCAGATTTTGAAGTTATGACACCTGCTTTTTTACGAGTAGTGAATTACACACACAATATACAGTATATTGTAAACCTTTCATGTAATTCTGAAACATACATATTTTCCACAGTATGTTTCTCTGTGGAAAATATGTATAACATTACTACTATACACACGATATAATTTTGGCTTATATATGTAGAATAAGCAAATTATTTATATATATATATATATATATATATATATATATATATATATATATATATATATAGTATCAGAATGTATGTCAATAATTTTAGACGAAACTATTTAAAACACAGAATATTTACAAAAAAATATCTTATAAATATAATACTGATATCCGTTACCACGGCTGCTGTATCCGTGGCAAAATCCGTAGTAGAAAAAGGGAAATAATATACTTCGCGTTTTAAACCATTAAAAGTATTTTATTATAATGTTTATCTCCCGTAAAGTACAGACAATGATTACGGTATTACAGTTGAGCGATACCGAATAAATATCAATAAACGAAATATACGTAAGCGACAATCTTAACATTTAAAGAAAATATTAAACAAGGATTTTTTGAAACAATATCACATCCGTACCGTGTCATTTAAAGTATTAAGATAATTTAAGAAGTAGCAATAAGGAATAAAGAATATTACGCGCTTTTAAGAGTTTAATGACAACGATAAGATTAGGTCGGGTAGACGCTCAAAAAACAAGTCTAGTATTAAAAATATTTGACACATTTACCAAGGTTAACATAAATTGATGACGAGTAGTTTTAGTGGCGTTTAAAACAATATATGGTTGCGCATGCGTCAATTTCGGGCTGTAATTAAATGTTGCAGACTGCAATAAAATCTATACAATATTATAGGCAATATTCTAATAAAATGTTTAGATTATGAAAAATATAAAAAATATCGGTTGTTATTATTTTTTTGTATAATGCAAGAGAAAAGTTAATTAGAAAGTAAGATGCAAAAATATTGACGACAAGGACGGGACTTGAAACGGTAGCTCTTGGTTTTGGTTGGTGGTTGCGTTGGAATTGGTTAGAGCAGCACCACGGAACGGTGAAATCCCGCTCATTTCGTATTTTTTTATCTTAACAGACATTTTAATTTATATAATGCCATCATGTATCTACAATAACATGTGAAAAATGTAAAAAAAATCAAATATTAAGGTCATTGTATGACGTGAATGTATAAGATTGGAATTTTTCACACACAGCATATATATATTCTATTATACATAATTTAGCTTACTTAATTAATATTTTTTATTAGAACCAAACTTACTGGCTGTGAGGTATAGACATTGTGTTGTTTTCATGCACAAATCACAACAAAAAGTCTGTAATAATTTCACGATAACATGTCAAGCCATACTTCTATACAGTTACAGTATTATAATCTTGAAGCTGCCATATTATTTCTTACTAGCTGATCCGGCAACGTTGTTTTGTTTACAAGTTTAATATTATTTTGTTCATACAACTCTTACAAATACTCAAGTTATTATTGCTATTATTATTATAAGTATTGCTTTTTCGTTTCTATTAGTAGTGGCGTGATGTTTATAGCCAAAAACCTTCCTCAATAAATGTTCTAACCAACACAAAAAGAAAATCAATTCGAACCAGTAGTTCTTGATATTAGTGCGTTTAAACAAACAAATTCTTCAGCTTTATCATATCTGTGTAGATTTAAAACAAGATCTCTTTCTTTTCTTTTTTTTTTATATATTTTAAGGAATTATAAACTGTATAATTATAATGTTACATTGTAACTATCGATTTGAGTTTATCAAGACAGGATGGTTGATAAAAATATGTATTATTCCACTTAAGTTATCGCACAATCTTTGTTGCCATTGTCATTCAAAACTCACCTGCGTAATCAATTTGAATTCAAATATTTTAGTGAGACGTATCGGCAGATAGATTAGAGGATTCGATCTCGTATACAGATTCAAAAACAAAGATACTGCAAAGACAATGTTGAGAAAATAGAATATTAGGAAAAAAAAACCGACCCAGTTGGGAGTCAGACGTACGCGAAAATTTACATAAAACCTCTATAGCGATTAAAACTCGAACTAAATTAGTTACCTTATTTTCAATGTATTAAACTACGGCTCGAAGTTTCAGATACTACAGTGGTCACGGGGGACTTCACTGTCGCGTTTTTAACAGTTAAAATTCGGTTATTCAAATGTGTACTCGCGTAACCTACAGATGGTACATCGGTAGACAGATTTAATTTTAATTGTTAACACCATTTATTAATAACGAGCTTTCATATTTAAATTATAAAAAACTTAACATTAACAAAATATATGTTTTGGTTTTAGCAGTTGGTCATAGCGGAAACAGAAAAGTTAAACTCTAGCTATTACAATTCTTGAGTGTGGTGACAGACAGATGGACAGACAATATAATCATTAGTTCTTTTGTTATCGTGTCGGTGCAGAAATGTCAAGATTGTTACAAGAATTTTTTAAGAGCTTATGTAAAATTCACAAATCTATTTAAAATGTGTTTGTTGAGACAGATGGTGACCTGCAACTGAGCTGCTGATGCTAATTCCTAATTATATCCTTCGCCATTAAAATAAATAGTAGTAGTACAGATCTAAATAAAACACTTCAACGGTTTAAAACGCGATATATATTAGTTAAACTTATTTGAATATTATTTTAACTCCTCGCGACGTTTCAGATACTTTGCAGCAGCCGTGGTCATAGGGACACTAAATTTAACTAATATATATCGCGTTTTAAACCGTTAAAGTGTTTTATTTAGATCTGTACTACTCGCGTAAACTACAGACAGTATTTAAATTCGCCATTCATATTAACTACCAATTTAGACTCAATTGCCTATGCGTATAAAATTACTTTCGCCTCTAAGATAGTTCAATGATCTTATATTGACGAAAGATCTAGAAACTTCCGTTCAGAATATCATTTTTCAGTGACCATTGATTTGATAGGATGTTTTCTGCGCAATAAATACTCAGATTTAATCAAAAGATGACTTTCATCGTATCTTTAGTTTTCATAAGATGCACGGTGGTAACGAAATATTGTCACTGTACTTAGAACACAGTACATATTCGCCAATCGTCACTAGAACAGCGTGGTGGCTCCGATGAGAGACTATTTGCCCACTGACTGGGCAAAAATCGTTCTTTTACTGGTTGAAATTATACGATTAGATACGATAGATCACAGCTTGAAAACTTTAATATTGTACATGATGGCACTATATAAACAAAATTTTAAGACGCGGGCTGGACTTGAACCAGCCTCCACAACGATGCGTGTTTTTGCTCTAACCAACTGAGCTATAATTCGCAAGTGTTAAGGTTGAAATTATATTGCTTGAGAGGTCCGTTTTATGCACCATAATATGTTGAAAAAATTCAACGATGACGTCTCTCGGTAGCTCATTTGACTGGAGCAGCAGCACGGCAAGCTGTGGGTGCCGGTGTCGTAAATTATTTTCAATCTACAATCGAGTTTTAGATCACAGCTAGCACTGAAGTGAAGGTGATAAGAACTAAAGCCATAACACGCAACGAATCTGTTCAAGAATAAATTGATAATCGAGTTCACGACCGCCGCATATTATGGATCAGACCAGTTAACTATGTGGAAAATTCCAATGCACATTAATCGTAAGCTATTAATGTCCCTCATAAACTTTTCACCTCATTTAGCTGTTGGCTAGGAGACGCGCTCTTACGTAAAAGCTTCAATGCTGTTGCTTTTTTCCGTTTAAACGGATGCCCTGGGTTGAAATACCGGGCAAATAGCAATTGTTTTGGTTAAGCAGGTCACAGAAGTCTGGCTACTTGCCCGTAAATAATATCTTTCAGTGAAACTGACATATATAAATGTGTTCGCTCTATGTCCTAAGAGGGATGGCGAAATTTTTCTTCTCGTGTTTGTAGAATGGTTGTTAGATCTTTAATTATTGTTATTTAATTAAAGAAGTTAATGTTTGAAATTAAAAAATCAAGAGATGAGTGTGTTTTGAGAGCTCCTTTTTAAAGTCAAATTAATACTAAC